CGGGGACATCCCCGGGGGGGATTTGGGGTTCCCGGGGTGGGTTTGGGAGTCCCTGGGGGGATTTGGGGGTCCCTGGGGGGGTTCGAGTACACGTGGGGGGGATTTGGGGGTCCCTGGGGTGGATTTGGGGTTCCCGGGGGGCATTTGGGGGTCCCTGGGGGGAGATTTGGGGGTCCATGGGGGGATTTGGGGGTCCCTGGGGGGGGATTTGGGGGTCCCAGGGGGGATTTGGGGGTCCCTGGGGTGGATTTGGGGGTCCCTGGGGGGGATTTGGGGGTCCCTGGGGGGGTCCATCAGGACCCCTCTGACTCCTCTCCCCCCATTTTTTCTCCCAGCAGCCCCCGCGCCCCTCCCCTCCCCCCCGCCAGGGGGCGCCCCGCGCCCGCCCCTCCCGGAGCCCCCTCCAGCCTCGGCCCCGCCCCCGCCGCCTCCGGACCAATCAACGAGCGCAGCGGGCGCTGACGGACAGGGTAAGCGGCCAATCGGCGCGCGGGGGCGGGGCCGGGCTGGGGCTGAGGGTGGGGGGCGGCCCCCGGGGTCCAATTTCGGGGAGGGTCCCGCGGCCCCCGCCGCCATTGGCGGGTAAAAATAGGGAGTGACCCCCCCAAAAAACCCGGCGACAGCCGCCGAGCCATGGAGGGGGCAGGTGCAGCACCGGGAGGCACCAGGAAGGGCAGCGGGAGCACCGGGGGACTCCGGACTGGGAACTGGGAGGCACTGGGAGAAACTGCGAGGGCGCTGGGAGAAACTGGGAGGCACTGGGGGGGCACTGGGAGGCACTGGGAACCGCTGGGGGGGCACTGGGAGGGACTGGGGACCACTGGGGGGGGCACTGGGAGAAACTGGGAACTACTGGGGGGGCACTGGGAGGGACTGGGGACCACTGGGGGGGGCACTGGGAGAAACTGGGAACTACTGGGGGGGCACTGGGAGGGACTGGGGACCACTGGGGGGGGCACTGGGAGAAACTGGGAACTACTGGGGGGGCACTGGGAGGGACTGGGGACCACTGGGGGGGGCCCTGGGGGCACTGGGGAAAAC